AGGGCTCTAGGCCGAGGGGATGGTAATGTGCCTCGAGGTCGAGGGCCCAAGGCTGAGACTAACGCCGAAGGTGAGGAACATGATTAGCGGAGGTGGCGCTTCTTCGGCTGGGGCTCCTCGAACTCCTCTCCGTCACTGAGCCTCCCGATTTTATGTTTCTTTGTTGCGATGTCCCCTTCTTCTTTATCGATGTTCTCCCCGGTGTTTTTCCTTGGGGCATTTTTGATGAATTGGTGGAGCTCACCCCGTTGAATTAAGAGTTCAATAGCCTTCTTTAACGAGACACAATCGTCTGTATTGTGGGAGGTGCTTTTGTGGTAACGGCAATAAGTGCCGCCTTGGTGGATGGCGTAGATCTCCCTCGCCGACCGAGGGTCCTTGGGGAAAAGGTCCTGCTCTTCCGCATAGTTGAGGATAGTGCTCACCGGGTGCGTGAGGGGAGTCCTCGGCATGTCCAGCCGAGGGCGCCATTGGCGTTCGTTACGGCCCTGCTGGGTGTGGCTTCCATGGTCTCGGCCTCCGGCCGAGGGCACATTTGGGGCCGGCGTGTTGTTTATCTTCTTCGAGGGCTGGCCTTCGTTCTTCTTGAAGGAGTGGAGGTCATCGGCGTCGGCGTATAGGCTCCCCCGCTGGAGTGCTCTGAGGTATGATCTTGGGGGGTCGGTGATGAGGCTCCGTGCGTAGGGGCTGCTGCGGAGAACCCCCTGGAAGAGGACGAGGAGGGTACGCTCGTCGGCGCCCTCGACCTCGTCTGTCTCCTTCATCCACCGGTCAATGAAGGACCGAAGTGTTTCGTCAGGCTGTTGCTTGACGGAGAGGAGCTGGGAGAAGTGCTTTCTCGCGCGCTTCCTTCTGGCAAAATGGGTGAGGAAGCGTTGGGCAAGATCTTGCCAAGAGTCAATGCTGCCCTCGGGCAATCGATTGAACCATTCGTATGCTGGTCCCTCCAAGGTGGAAAGGAACCAACGACATAAGTATTCATCTGATGCCCCCATCATCATCATGCTGTTTTGATACCTGTTGTAGTGCTCCTGGGGGTCAGTTTTTCCTTCATAGGGCTTGATGAGTTGCCCTCAGTACTTTTCCGGGATTTGGGCCGCCAATACCCTTGGGGTGAATGGCGTTCGGGTCCGGAGCTGGATGATGGGTTCCCCGGAGCCCTCGGCTACCTTCTTCTGTAATTCCTCCATTTTGGCCATCATGGCCTCGTATTTGAGGTCTGAATGAGGGGTGGAGGTGGTGGCGTGAGCTTTGTCGGCCTCCATTTCATCAAGTCGGCGTTGGAGGGCCGCAATAATTTCGTCCCGGGGGTCTTTCGGGAGGGTCTTCGCCCCCTGCGAACGAACCCGGACCGAGTGGGCCTGGTTGATCTGGTGGCGAGCATCGTCGGCATGAAGGGGTGCCTTGCCTTTGTCCCGAGGGGGACGCTCCTCGTCTGCCCTCGAGACAGACCCTCCGCTTTCTTGGGGCCCTCGGCGGTCTTGCCCCCCTCCGAGCCGATTGAGGGCGGAAGTGCAGGGCCTTTCTCTGTTGTCATTGTGGCGATCCCGGGACTGAACTTCCTGGGAGGCCGTGTCTTGGGCCACTACCCCTTCGTCATTCCTAACCCGAGGGATGGGGTTTCCGAAGGGGTGTGGCAGAGGGGGAAGTACGATGTTCTCCCCAACCTGGGGTTGAGCTGGAGCCAGGGTGCCGAAGGCACCCGGGTTCTGAGTTAGCGTCTGGATGAAGGCGGAGAGTGCCGAATGAACGTCGATGGTGAGGACCGGAGGGCTGACTTGGTCATCGCTCCGGTTTTTGTTCTTGGCCTCGATGCCGAGGCGGGCATCGGGGGCATTCTGCTGGATCTGAAGGCGTAGATCGACAGCCGCCTGTTCCATCCTAGCGATGACACCGCCCTCAGGAGCCTTGTGAGAGGCTTCGGGGGCGTTGACGTCGCTGAGGGCCAGGTTCTTGTCTTCTACGTTTTTGGAGTTGGCACGTGTTGTTCTCACCATTTTGGTAGAGGGCTAGTGTTTGGCGAAGGGGGAGGGTTTCTTACTTGATCGTTCGACCTCTCAACGAGAGCACCAAATGATGGATGGTCTACCCGGGGGGTATATATCCGAGGGGTTATTGCTGAGAATAACTTAGAGAGAAGTCAGAGCAAATAAGTAAGAGAGAGAGAGTGTATATTCGATATGTATTGAGCGTGGTTTACAATGGGGGAAAGGGGTGCTATTTATAGTAGTAATAAATGCTAGATAAGGACACGTGTCAGTTTTCTGGTGGTCGAGGGGTCACCTCGACCGGGGTGGCACTGGCACTCGCATGTGGCCGCATTAAATGCGGTGGTTGGATGTGACGTTTGTACTTGGTACGGTGATCCAGGCGCATGTGAAGAGGATATTCTGTCGAGGTGGATGCCTTAGGCTGAAGGGTGCTGGGCCGAAGGCTCTTCTAACCGAGGGCTTCTACCTGCCGAGGGCTGCAGGTGCCGAAGGCTTGGTTTTCAAGCCTTGTTCTCCTGTGATGCCTCTTCTAACCGAGGGCTCCTACCTGCCGAGGGCTACAGGTGCCGAAGGCTTGGTTTTCAAGCCTTGTTCTCCTGTGATGCCTCTTCTAACCGAGGGCTCCTACCTGCCGAGGGCTGCAGTTGCCGAAGGCTTGGTTTTCAAGCCTTGTTCTCCTGTGATGTTTCTGAGCTCGATTCCGTCACTGGTAGCCTTCGGCCATAGGGCCGAAGGCACCCCTTTGCGTATTGTGGGCTGCTCAGAGCTCCATTTTGTTGGGCTTGGCCCGTTTGGGCCTGTTGGGCCTGATTGTAGTAGAGGAAGTATGTGGGCCGGGGGTCCCTGGGCCATATACTCCATCAGGCCTCTTGGCCACACGTCTCGGTCACTTTATTTGATGACCCGGACATCATATTATGGACGGTCACTCGACCTATCTCTTAGTCATCTTTATTTGATGACTAGAATTACCTATCATGCGGAGCTACGCACATACGAGGACCAATCTTGGTCATCCCCTTAGCAGATGCCGACAGTTTCAGCTCCACACTTAGGCCAAAGGGCTCACCCCTTTAGCTTCATTTTGGGGACATCCGGTGTACTCTTTTTCCCTCATTAGGATTTTGTCCCACTGGGTTTTTTCCTAATGAGGTTTTTAACGAGGCATCTCCCCATTGTGGTTCAAAAGGTGTCGACGCTCGGCCCCTATTGAAGACATAACGAGACATGCACTACTCTACTCCTCTTCACCTCACTACATTCACCTCAAGGAGTGGGGGACTGGAAGAGCGGGGGACTTAGCGCCTCCGTTAACCAAAGAACCAGAAATTCAAAAATTTTCACGAAGTTTACTCATCAGACGATAGATCAGCACACAGTTCTACTCTCTTTCGCCTCGAGTACTCTCGACTCAGGGAGTGGGGGACTCTTGATGGAGTATATAGACTCGGACCCCCGGGTCTCACGACTATTGGACCCGGACAGCGGCCCACACACGCTTATCAGACGTCATTTATATCATTTGTATTATTGTAGAGTTCATATATCATTTGTATGTACCAGATTAGCCTTTTATGTTGTTGGGCTTATCGGGCCCATATTAGCGGCCCGACCCATTATTTCTCTATTTATACTCCATTTGGAGCTTGTAAACCCTAGGTCACAATTCTATACACAATACACATTACTATTCATCATCTTCTTCCATCTCTTTAGCTCAAATCTCTCCATTTTATTAGATAGATTGGATCCCTATAATTCATCAATATATATATATATATATATATATATATATATATATATATGAGTTTTCCTTCGACTCTATAAAACTTTTAATATAATTTCTGAATATGTAATTTTTTTACTAAACAAATCTAATTAATTACATTTATCAATTTATTTTATGGTCAGTTAAACATCGTAAAACGTGTGAGAATCTCTCTACAGGTCGGAGTGAGTACATTGTTACACGTAATATATATGAAGTATTGATTTTTAATATACTTGTGAATTCGCAACTTAATTAAATTAATTCTAAATACATATTTGATTCATTCCTTATTTGATATTTATTGTTAACATAAATTTGAATAAATTATAAATTGTGGGATTAAAATTTATTTTCAACAAAGTTAAATTTTATTTATCGTGAACTTTTTAATTATGATATCGTAATATTTTTTGTCAAACAAATATTTTATTATTTATAATTGATTTTACATTATTTTTTCTTAATGTGATCATTGTTTATGAGATGCGTTTATGAGATGCGTGAAATAATTAATTTGAGTTCGTCCCTGCTAATAGAAATTCCTGGATATGCTTGTCTACGCAACTCAGACTAGTTTCTATCGTTTGCTTGAGGTTTGTTTTCATTAGCCTACAATTCCAAATTTGAGTGCGTTGTATCAAGTAAATTAAAAGTTGTCTTGTAATGATATTGTTGATAACATAACATTTCTTATGTCTTCATTGCCTTTCTCTTTTTTCTTTCAACCTGCTTTCTTATATATTGTTGGGTAAATGGCCAAAATAGGACCGGCACATTAACCGCTAAAGCCCACCGGACGACCGTCTCCAAAGCCCAATAATCTAGGGACAGATACTCTCAGAGTGATGACCTCCGACTCTTGCACCAAAATGGCAGTAAGTGGTGACGACGTACGTCCCCAACAGGTCTTGGGAGCACGCAGTACGAAGGTCGCCAAGGACGGGGCAACTGAAGATGTTTTCCCCTACTTCAGAGGATGTACGTCACCAACAGGCATTCAAATGTCCAATTGCAAGACGAACGTGTCCAAGGACTTGAGCAGCTGGTAACGCCGCCTTCCCCCTACTTCAGTGGACGTACGTCCCCAACAGGCTCTGTTGCTGCAATGATGACTTGTTTATGTGGTACATTCAGTGAAAGAGCCAAAAGAGCCATTATAGTTGCAAATTCGAAATAAGTCCATAGAATGCTATAAAAAAATCAGTAATCTCAAGAAAACAGAGTGAAATAATAGTTCGTAATACTTTTGGTGTGTTAAGGTCTTTATATTTGAGCGGGATGGTATTACATTGTTGAGGTAAGGTTCCCTTTCATCCACCTTTGAAGCATTACTAATGCTGCCTTAGGCTGATCCATTGGAACCATGTGGCCTGCATCATTGACCTTGAGGAAACTGAGTGGTCCTTGGCTCTTTAGTGTTCCCTTCACATTTCCATCCACAGTAAAAGTAACATTAGTCGCTCTGCTGAAGTTTTCTTGACCAGACCATTTCATGGCATGAACCCATCTTGAGTTTCCTATTCATCCCAAATCAGGTGCAGCTTTATTATCATTATCATTGCTAGTAGTAGTATTAATACTATGTTTATAGCAACTTTGCATGTGCATTATATTAGTTAGTAGTTAGGGGGTTTGGAATCGATTATGTTTCTACTTTTTTTTAGAATCAGAATCAGTTTTTCAGAAGTTGATGTACCACAACTTCTGAAAACTGCTTCAATATCTGCTTCTGCTCTTTGAAAAAGTAGAAGCAGTTGTAAGAAGTAGATCCAGATACCCCTTAGTACCATGAATGACATACAGCGTAATTAGCTAGGTACGTACCGAGCCAGTTACAAATAAGATCAAACTCTCCAGCATATATAAGCATAGTTATTCCCTCTTCAAGAAGGCTAGGAATGTCAACTTCGAGATTTGCCATATAATCCTGCGTCATAGCGCTTTGTACCTCAGCTTTACATGAAACAAAAGTAATGTTCCCAACTCCTAGAGCTAGTCTAACTTCTTTCAGGTTGAGGTAAGTTTCCATGTTTGAGAAGTCGTAGCAGAGAGGTCCTCTTGTACAATTCTTCCGGACGTCATAGTACTGCAGTTCATACAAGGCAAGCTGTTACTTTAGTTTGTTAGGTTATGACTAAGGATGTTTTTACTTGAACTCTAAATTGTTGATCTGGTCTGGTCTGGTCTGATCTGGTCTGGTCTGTTTTAGTCTTGTCTGGTCTGGTCTGGTCTGTTTTGGTCTGGTCTGGTCTGGTCTGAAATTTTATTTTTTATATTTTTTGCATAAAGATTTTACACTTCATAATTTTATAAGCATGTGCAAAATAGGAATGCCAATTTATGAACATGAAGGGAATGAAGAAGGCATGGTTGGTTCAGATATGTTCAACAATGGGCGAAAAGAAGCTATAAACAATGTTCACGTGGAAATTGCGAAATATATTTGGGAAGACGTTCAGAAACCCAGAGCAACGGATGCATGATGATATTTATTACTACATATTTTATAGTACTTTTTTTGTTCTTAAAAGATTTATAGTTTACCCATTATTCATACAATTTTTTTTCCAAATCAAGATTTTATTTATTTATTTTTATTTCTTTGTTTTTTACAAATCAAGATCATCTATATTATTCTGTCACTTGTATGACTTAAAATACGAACAGACTAAACCAAACAATAATAAAATAGTACAAGTATTAAGAGTAACAACAATAACACTACTACCACTAATAATAATAATAATAATAATAATAATAATAATAATAATAGTAATGATAGTAGTAATAATAGTAATAATACTACTAATAACAATAATAACAATAATAACAACAACAATAATAATAGTAATAATAGTAGTAGTAGTAGTAGTAATAATAATAATAATAATAATAGTAATAGTAATAATAATAGTAATAATAATAGTAATAATAATAATAGTAATAATAATAGTAATAGTAATAATAGTAATAATAATGATGATGATGATAATAATAATAATAATGATGATAATAATGATAATAATGATGATGATAATGATGATAATAATGATAATAATGATAATAATGATAATAATGATAATAATGATAATAATGATAATAATGATAATAATAACAACAACAACAATAACAATAACAATAACAATAACAATAACAATAACAATAACAATAACAATAACAATAACAATAACAATAACAATAACAATAACAATAACAATAACAATAACAATAACAATAACAATAACAATAACAATAATAATAATAATAATAATATGGTCTGGTCTGGTTTATTTTAGTCTGGTCTAGTCTATTTTGGTCTGATCTGATCTGGTCTGGACTGGTCTGGTTTGGTCTAAGACAAATTACGGTCCAAGTAAAAACAACCTAACCCACGTAAGCCAAATGTTCATAAAGGTAATGCAAATAAATTTAGTTTGGTTGATGCAAGTTATCAGGGAACGGCTTGCGCATAACTAATACTACCTCCGTCCCGTTATGATTGTTTCATTTTACCTTATGCGTCCATCCCACTAAGACTGTCTCATACCAAATTTGGTAAAGTTTGTGTGGTTCTAAATCATTCTTACTTTATTCTTACTTTATCAATTCAATATCAACCACATAAACTACTTTTTATTAATTTACGTGTCATTCCCTCTTGTCTCATTGTTAGCGGGACGGAGGGAGTAACTTCTGTTGAGCAACTTACGTAGTTTGCCTTAAAATGTTTTTACTTGAATGGACCAGACCAGATCATACCAGAGAAGACTTGAATAGTTATAAAATGCACAAATACTAGATTTTTATCGGGGACCAAACCAGATTAGACGAGACCAGAAATTTCAGTCCAAGTAAAAACATCATCAGCGTCATTTGACATAGTTTGACTTTTAGCCTCATTTATGGGATGTTTCAGCCGGAAAATGGCGTTTTGACCACTCTTAGCGTTTTCAGTGAGTGAAAAAGTTGTTCGGTAAATAACCGTTCAACACTAGTGTTTTTGGATGGAAACGTTGAAATGAAAAAGGTTACAAACAGAAAAGCATTGGGTTAGTGTTTTAAAATATGACATTTTCTACTAATTTTATGGTCAAATAGCTGAATTATAACATATCTTCTCACAATCGGTCAACTTACCATAAAAGATGATATGAGAGAGCTTACAAACAATACCATAGGTTAATAAACTTACCAAACATTATAGTGATCACTGATCACTTATCAGCTTGTTTTGTAAAAAAACAAATGCTTACATTTATATTCCGGTCCCCAAGTACGTCATAGAAGATTCGGAGGCATTTGCTGAGAGCCGTATCGCAAGCTCCCCCACCCTTGGTGTCTGGTGAAAAACGTGAAATGCAAGGATAAAGAAATTGCTCAAAATTCAAGTAAAACATGGATAAAGCTCATCTATAGAACTAAGTTTGTCTTCTTCCCGAAATTGGACTATTCGAAATCAGGGGAAATTAAAGAAGATGCCTTATTCAAGAATGGGATTGGAGTAATGAACGAACAAAAGAGCTGGTTTACCACAACTCACTATTGATTTCTGACAATCCGGAACTTTCAGGTTTATTTCGTCATAAATGGGCTTATTGATCAAATTTTGATCCAAAGCGTAGTCGGTATAGGCTGGATACTGAATTAACGGATTGGTGAGTCCGTTGCCGATGGCAAATCCCTGGTTGAATATCAACAGCCAAACAAGGTATATCACTTTATGTTGATATAATTAAACAAGTTTATATTGTACTGGAGAATGGAGATACGTACCTTGAGGTTTATACGATAAATTCCTTGATTGTTCTTGTTTCCCACATTAATACGAGAAGCCAATGCAGGAATGTAATGCCCAGCATATGATTCTCCAGTTATGAAGAAATCATTTCCGGCATAATCGGGGTGTTTCGTGAAGAAGGCCTGCCCATTCATTCCATTTTAGTGCCAAACACTAATTATGATGATTCAAAAGTGTGACTGATCATTTGTCATGAGATTACTGTAACAACTTCTTTAATCTAATTTTTACTAATTAGTCTTTGGATTATCACTCATAGAGGTCGTTTGGTAGCACTGTTTTTCGGCTTATTGTGTAATAAGCAGAAAAAGTAAGGTTGGAGTTACTTTTCTAGCTGTATTGGCTGAAGTTACTGTAGGTGACCATTTTAGCTATTTTTACATATAATTTTTTCTTTACTTTTTAAATAAAAAATATTTTAAAAATATTTTTTTCTTAAATCACCAGAATCAGCCAACGCAGCCACTTAAGCCAGAACTTCATAAATTTCAGCAGAATCAATCAAATCAGCCGATTTTCATGCTACCAAACGGGTTCATAAAAATTACTACTTCAATTCCAGGTTGGAATTTTTATTCATACTAATGATATATGTGGGAGAATAAAATGAATTCATCTTTATGAATTAAATAAAGGTTTCACTCTCTAACGGTATAGTCGGGCTAAATATATTACTTATTCCTTAAACCCCTTCATACCCCATGAATCCATGATATTCTTTAATGTAGCACACACCTGTAAGAAGTTGTAGAGGTCTTCGCTGACACCTTTTTCATTAACGCGAGTGTCATTCCTATTGTTGCTGTAACTGAAACCAGTTCCCGTTGGTTGATCCACAAAGATAATGTTTGAAATCTGCAATAAATGTAAAAAAAAAACTATGAAATTAATTTCGACTTTCATTATTATATATAGAGAGAATGATCTAAAAAGGAATTGCAAAAGTAGGAGTACTGCTATTCAATATTTCCGCGTAGGACCAAAAAGCAAATCAAGTCCAAAATAACCTTGTGTTTATGCGGCTCCCTTTTTGATGGAATGTGTTATGCGGCTATTTTTTTTTTACTCTGAAGGCGTAATATCATTATTTTGGCATTATAAAGTCATATTGCCATTATCAACATTTAATGACTTCATTAAGCAGCCTAACACGGGATTAATATTAATTACCCGTTGGGTCTAACTAGGGATTCAACCCACGAAAGGAATCTACAACCAGGCCAGATTGGACAGTAGACTTCGAGTCTGGGCAAAGTTCTAGTGAGGACAGGATATTCCTAGGGTTTACCTGACATACCATCATTCCAACATAGCTATCTAGCAATGGCTAAGACGTTACGAGAGTCCTATTCGAATTAATTGCAATTAATCGCATTTATTGTATCAGTTTCATACTACAATACGAGTTTATGTATCCTATAAATACTCTTGTACATCTCTTGTAAAGGAAGCTTTTCCATATGAATAATACTTTTACTACTTTCTTTCCTACGATCAGTAAACACTTGATTGAATAAGCTCTTTTCGCTGGAATTATATTCCATCGTTGGTGCTTTCATTGAGGGCTTGATCAAGATCAAGCGAGAATTCTAGCAAAATTATTCAAAAATTTATTCCAGTCACGAACAAAGGAATCTGGAAAGGTCATGGGTTTCACACGGAGCCGTCGTCGTTTCTCTATGACGTTTCATATGTGAATGCTCTTCGCCAACAAGAGCACCGACAGGAGAAACCCAGACCCGACGGATCGAGGCTCTGGCAATTTGCTCCTTCGCAGTCGCAGCGCCACCTGACGTTGTTTGAAGTCGCTCCGCCACCTTGTCGGTCGCATCTCGTCTTTCCACAACGTCTTGGACAGATCTGCTGCACGGACGAATTAAGAGCCCTCGCTGCTTCGCCACAGCACGGTGGTAATTTCCGACGCCGTGACCAAACTCGCCGACAAAGACGACCAGATCTGCTACTCTTCGTTATGGCGGTGGTTGCTGCAGCCGACATAAATGGTGCCTCGAGCCGGACGTGCGCTGGACCAAGTGCTCTCCTCCGCCAGCAAACCTGCAATTCTGCGAATCACGGATAGGAGATGAATTGTGGCTAGTTCAGTCATGCATTAGCGAGGAAGAAAAGCCCTCTATAGACAGGGACGATGGTCGCGCAGAACACGTACGGAGTAGTTCGGGTAGATGTTTATCTATGGCTTCAAGGCCATTAACAAAGGCTATAATTTTACAGTTGACCTAGTCAATTCCATACTCCCTTCGTCCCATATAGAGGTTCCTGGTTCAGTTTACGATGCTTGACTGATGATAAAGCAACTTGATCCCTATTCACATTCCGATTTATTTTTAAAAAACAAAAATTACATATTCAGAAACTACATTAAAGTCGCTACAAAGACTGATAAAAAATATGTAAATTTCATAAAAAATCGATATATAAAGCAAAAGCTTAAGAATGATTTAAGTTGACCATGTGAATAGTGGACGAGAACTTTTAAATAGGACGAAGGGAGTATTTGATTGGACCGAGTGACACAACAAATAAAAGCTATGTACTCTTGCTTTGATTCTCGGAGTATTTCAATTCCAAAAAACATATTTGATAAAAGACATTGTAAAATCATAATAAAAATATAATTGATATAGTATCACTTTGACCTCGGGGCTAGTCATCCCGAATATCAAATTTGAACTACACAGCCCGAGCGATGAGTTAAACTATATCAATATTATATTTTATTGTGTAGTGTGCATGAAGTTCTATACGCCAACCGGGATTGACACAGTAAGGCGAGACCAGAAGATGGCGAGAAGCTGTTACGTAAGGGCCTGCAAGGCTCACGGGAGGAACCTTATAAGGGTCAATGCTATTAAACGGGATTTGTCCAGATATGAGGGAGGACAGTTCAGAGCTCAGTTCGTCTCAGAGCTTGAGGAGGTCGAAGTTGATCCCTCCCGACCTGAACGGCGGGTCAGGATTGGTACAGGGCTTCCGACTGACATGAGAGAAAAGATAGTTTAGGTCCTGACATAGCCCAAGGTCACTCCCGACGAGCCCGAGCTCAATGTTGTCGAGCCCGAGCTCAATGCTGCTCAGACCGCGAGGTCATTCTTGCCGAGCCCGAGGTCATTCCTGCCGAGGCCGAGGCCATGTTAGACGAGGTCGAGCTCATACCCAACAAGCATAAGTCATGACACACTTAGCACTTGAGAAGACCGGTCTCAGTCATCCTCCTCCTGGATGGCGACCATTACTTACTCGAAGAACGGTGCAGGTCATCCTCTTTTGATCGCCTCTTAGCTCAGCATGTTGCGCACTTTCCCTCGGCAAAGACGGATGATCTTTGCTCGAATACCAGAAGATATGCTCGGACTGAGCCCGAACGTAGCAATTCGCATGCTAAACGTAGATCCAAAGGCGGCTCCCGTCAAAGGGGAAGTGAATATGTTGGTTGGCATTAGGCATATTAGAGAAGTGCAATATCCGGAATGGCTTGCCAACGTGGTTCTGGCTCCTAAGCCACCTACCTGGAGAATGTGCGTAGACCATACGGATCTAAACAAGGCCTCCCCAATGGATCATTTTCCTTTGTCCAGTATAGACTGGTTGGTGGATCCAACCACCGGATGCGAGCTTCTTTCCTTCATGGACGCATTCAGGGGGTACCACCAGATCTCCATGCACCCAAATGATGCTGAAAAGACCTCATTCATCACACCAGAAGGAGTCTTTTGTTACCTGGTGATGGCTTTCGGATTAAGGAACTCTGGGGCTACTTGCACTAGGATGGTGGCCAACGTCTTCCGAGCAGTACTGGGAAGGAACTCGGAGGCCTACTTCGAAGACATGATTATCAAAAAGTAGAAACTCAGACGATCATGCACATGATCTCAGGGAAGTGTTCAACATTATGAAAAAGGAATGCCATGCTGCGTTTGAAGACCTCCAAAGATACCTACAGTCAGATCTGCTTCTCAGCAAACCAGAGGTCGGCGAGACACTTACTCTGTACTAAGGAGTCTAGCTCCCAAAGCGCAGTCAGCTCTGTTTTAGTAAGAGAAGAAGGGACCACACAGAGGTCGGTCTACTATGTCGGCAAGGTTCTCCATGGGGCTGAGCTCAGATATCCAGCCCTGGAGAAGACCGCATTCGCACTCTACGTTCGTGATGGTACTATGGGCCTGACCCATAGACCAGATACAGAAACTAATAATTAATTCCGGTCCAGCCCAGTCGAAGGATTAATGAAGAAGCCATAAAAGCCTGAACAGGGAGATCCAAGGCCACTACGAGGCTGGCCATGCCTGAGCTGACCTTGACAGCAGGCACTAGGCCCAGTGGTCAGCCTGTGGAGGTCAGACTCTCCCTAAGGCTCAAGAACGAGTCACAAGGGCCCAAACAGGAGGATTCAGGCCCATCATGAGGTCAACCACGCCTGAGCCAACCTGGACAGCAGGTGCCGAGATCAGATATCCAACCCTAGAGAAGACCGCATTCGCAGTCTATGTTGCAGCAAAGAAACTCACCCATTACTTCCAAGCCCACCCCATCAAGGTCTTATCAGATTTGGGGATGGGAACCCTGTTCAGAACAGCCAAGACATCGCGAGTTGTGAAGTGGTCCCTGCTCATCAGCCAATATCAAGTAAGTTTCCAACCTAGACCATCAATCAAAGGTCAAGCCATGGCAAATTTTTTGGTGGAATGCACTGCCAGAGACGTGGCAGAAGAAAGACGCCGTGATGAAAAAGATTGGTGGACCCTCATGACTGATGGGTCATCATCAGGGTCCAAAGGTTGCGGAGGAGGGGTGGTACTCATCATCCCTGAAGTCTTCAAGACATACCATGCCCTCAGGTACTTATTCAATCTATCCAATAATGAAGCAGAATATGAGGCCTTACTTTCAGGCCTCAAGATAGCGAGGTACTTCAAAGTCCAAAAGCTAAGGATAAGGAGTGACTCTAAATTGGTCATCAATCAACTTAGAGGGGAATATGACGCCAAAGAAGCCCAGATGCAGAAATACAGGGATGCAGCACTGGAAGTCATGAAACAATTTGAAGAGTCTGACTTGATATGCAATCCGCGAGCCTGGATGTAGATTTTTCAGAATGTGAACATCTCATTCGCATAGCTCGTATACACGAGCTGGGCAAGCCAAGCATCGAGGTTTCGTTTTCATTCAAAAATGTCCTTTATACATTACTTGTGAAGATTTGTTAACCAGCCAAAAAAAGGCTACGCCTAATTGGTACTCGCAAAAAGAAAAAGTATAAATTCCAGACTCATCTAAATTCCAAAAAGTTCAGCCTAGTCTTCTTAAAGACAAGAGCGGGAATAAAACAACCTTTCTCAAGGTTAAACAGCCTTACAAACGAAGTCAAATTTCCTTCAACAGGAAAAGACAACCTTTCTCAAGGTTAAGACTGATTTTATAAGGCTAAAGATGAAATTGAAGGAATTAACTTCGCAACGGAGAGGCTCACAAACCTTGCCAGTTAAGAGGCTACTCACCAAGGTCAAAGTAACCTGAAGTGAAGCCCGCCAAATCTGGATCAATTACTAAGAGCCTAAGGGTCTAAAATTGGTAAAGTCATCCTTAACAAAGGCGAGATGACCTTGACCGGAAATTCAAGGCAAAATAAATAAAGGACAAAAGTGATTGAAAACCGGCAAACAGGAAGGCCTGGAAGCCATCCTGGAGCTTAGGAGCTACATAGGCTCAAAGTCCGAGGTCAACTCCCCAGAGGACAGAAATAATCCAAGGGAAGAGAACAATTTCGTACAACCCTACTGTTGCAGCACGGTTTTCATCACTACGACTTCGTTCACCGTTGGATCGGGCTGAAATTT